AACCTGTCCTAGAACGGCTACCTCCACCGCTTCTTCTCTTACTGGGTTTTCAATTTGACGTTTTTTATTTGCCACAGATCCCGTTTGTCGAAATTTTGAAATTAACTTATTTACGATTTACGCTTTTGTTTGGCTCATTGAAAATTCTACTGGCTCTGTTGGCACATTCATTATTTTTGAAATAATATCCAATTATTTCCACCCTATCCTGAATAGAATGTACTATTTTTATATTTTGCTCGTTGATGAACCTGAAGTACTACTGACAAGAAACTGACACACATAAGCACTGCGTGGTTCTGTCACGCACAGAATAACTTAAGTCACACACCGAAGAATATATATATAATTTTATTTCGAGCGTATTTGTATAAAAGTTTTTTTTTATCAATTGAATCAATTCTTTTTAGTCATTTTGGAAACTTGTAAAGCCCCCATATGCCAATTTTCAATAGAATCGAACCACAATTACAAATAACGTCCGCCATCTTGTTTTTTGCATCGACAAAACAATCATAATTTATTACCCTAAAAATCCCCACATATCAATTTTGATTCGAATCGGACCATAATTACAAATTTCTTCCGCCATCTTGGAGCCACCATATTGTTTCTTTACAATGACAACAAAATCATAATTTCTGACCCTGAAAACCACTACACATCAATTTTGAATCAAATCGGAACTTAATTGCAATTGTGGAGTCCCCATTTCGTTTTTTCCTTAGAAAAGTTCCATAATGCATTGTTACCGAATTTATGTTAAATTGGCTTGCAAATACAGTATCATATTTTGGAATACGGAACATATTTTTCCCGCAGAAGGGTGCCAAAATAGAAAGTTAGGTAGCGAAAATTGACATGGCCGAATTCCTTATGGAATTACCTTTTTGATAATGTGTCACACTTCATTTGGGTGATAGTGACCGAGAGGTGGAGAAAGAGGTACCGCAGTTAAAGTTATGATACAAAGATGTCCCCCTTGGATTACAAATCGAACTGTTTTTACTTTTTTTTCAGAAAACATGTGTTTTGAGGATATTCGATCTGTTTCGTTTTCGAAACAGATCGAATATTGATATTTCGTCCTCATATCCATGCATACAGCTGAGAATATTTTAGTAAATAGTCTCTACAAATACCACATGACCTGATATTTTCTGAGATGAGTGTTTATTTTTGTTTAACTGAAACTTTATTTTTGACCAATATCAATCGAGCAACTTACAATTGATTAAACAACTCGTTCTACAGACTCGTGGTTTTATTGTACTGCTTGCTCACATAGCATTGCTGAATAACAAAGTTTTCATTCGAAAATGGGAATTTATTGATGAAATTTTGAGGTCTTGTATTATTATCTACTATTGATGAAACGCTTTTATCCAACAGCGTTTCAACTATGAAATCAATATCTAGGTTTCATCGTTCTTGAATCATACGATGACTCTCATTTTCATAATTTCAATCATTGGCAATGTCACAATCGAATCAAACCAATTGAACTATCTATTCAAATATAATTCTGACTCGATATTAACACTTTGCATAAAGGCTTTCACAGAAATTCACAGGTATGTATTATGATTATGAGAGCAACTATAGATTCTCTCTACTGAGATAATTCGAATCAATGTGTTAATAAAAAATATAACTCACTAATACAATACAACAGTTATATACAAAAAACCAAAATGAAAAACGAAGTGTCACACTCCACTGATGCTCATAATAAGATCTTTCAATTCAAACTTATTGGTATAATTGTCTTGTTTTATCGAGGCACGATGGATTTGAAGATTGAAATCCTGTTGTTTTACGTACTCCTTTTATGCAGTTAGGTTAAGTTAGGTCCAAAGTGAGTGGGTCTATTCGACCCTCTACCGCAATCCGCAAGGATTTATTGTAGCTCACACCTATTCAGACTCGGCCAAATGAACCCAGCTTCTTAACGAAGCCGATTAGTTTGTATGGTGAGTAGTCTTTCAGTTCGGATGGTGAGAGTACGGCTCTGCCGAACTCTTAAGACCTGATTCGGTCTCCAGCGGGGCAGGCACAAAGCATATTCTCTGCTAATGAGGTAGTTGGATAGTCAAGTTGCAAGATTCCCACCTTGATACCCCCGACAACCTTCCTATATGAGGATTTTTGCACGTCAGCTACACCTGACGATGCCTCAGATTTAGCCGTGCAGGGCTTTTTCGCCTCTGGTTTAGGTGAATCGTCACTTGAGCGCAAACGTTTGCTAACCGGCTCATGGGGGTTTGTTCCACCACCTGAAACAGATTCTGCGTACGCCGCAGCTATCGCTACTGAAATAAATTTACAGGGAAGTCAGTTGGAGTCGTAAACTCGACATCCATCTCCTCTGTAAACTCGCTCCTGAACTAAATTCACAGGGAGGTCAGTTGGAGTCGTAAACTCGACATCCATCTTCCTCTGTAGACTCGCTCCTGATGTAAGTTTACAGGGTGGTCAGTTGTAGTCGTAAGTTCGACAAACATTTCCTCTATAGACTCAGCGTCACAAAGAATTTTCAAGTTTACTCTGTCCATAAAAGTCCCACGAGTAGCTAGGCAGAGCCCCGCATTACCGTGACAAGGCGATGCTACGACGAGAGGGCGCCCGGTATCTCGAAGGTTCCGTAGGGACAGCTGATAGCCTCAGTGTCATTTATGTTCTCGGCACGGATACACAAACCTCAGGATTAATTCATCCTTAGGATGCCATTCAGATGGAAATAACAGAACCACAAGTGATTCTGTCATTCCCGTATCCAGCGGGGCTACGTGGAAGCGGACATCCGTTGGCCGGTTTACTCAAACCCCACATCCCAAGCCAATGCACTCGTCGAAAACAGCATGCACAGTGGTTCAGGCAGTGAAATATGAACAAGGACAGCCAACCCGCTTCTTTTATACAGTGCACTCCATTTAAAACGAGCCACCCTGAATGACTTTTGGTACAATGATTTGCAAACATAGTATATAGGGGGACACATTTTGACGTATCCACATTCGGTGTTACTTCTCCTATCACCTATCTGAAGCTCACGTTTCGGGAGCTACGAATTATTTGAGTTGAAGACTAGTCACCCTGAATAACTTTTAATTTAAATAACATTCAAATTCAACAATAGTATACAGGGGGACACATTTTGACATATTCACATTTGATCTAACTTTCCCTAAAAATCAATAACATTTTCTGATTAGGGAAAAAGACAGGACAAAACAGACCTCTACTAGTATCCTTCGTTTCTCACATAGAAAGACAGGAAATCCTGAGGAGCGGCCCAAAATTAAAATGTATTAAAATAGTGTTAGTCGAAGATTTATCAAAGGAAGAGTTAAACGATGGAAAAATTCTGCTGGAAGGTCTCAGACAGGCTAAATCTAATAAAAAAACGGCAACAATCAAGCGAAATAACCTGATAGTGGACGGAAAAGCGTACACAGTAGCAGACTTATTAGACCAGGAAGACAGTGACTTTCCCCCTACTCAAGAGAGAAAAGAAATAAGTGACCCTCCAACACCGACCCCAAGAAAAGTTGAAGAAAAACAGGAATATTTCCCTGAATCAAATAATACTGAATTGAGGAAACAAATAGGAGAGGAAGATAAAAATCTAAGAAAGAATTCAAGAAATCCAGTAGAAAAAGCAACTCCAAGTAGCACTCATTCAAACGCAAATTGAAAATGTGGATACTGAGAGTGCCAAGAATTCAGATACATCAATATGTCGACATGAAAAATGTCTATTACCCTTTAGAAAACTAAATAAATAAATACTTCGTTGAATTATTACATAATTATCTCTGAGCAAGTTCATATGTTTCTTTAGGTCGGTCGGTAGCCAAGCGGTTCGGCGTGGGTGCTTTGTTCACTCACTCGAATTGACTGCCGTGTTGATCGGTGGTTAAAGTCCTACTCTGAACGATCCACCTTCACTTGCTATCGTCCAACCCGTGTTAGGAAGCACACGTTAAAAGGTAAGACCTCGTTAATCCTTAGCTCGCACAAGTTTCGACTTCTGAGGGTTGTCGTTCGTANTATTGTTTCTGCAAATCATTGTTTCAAAAGTTATTCAGGGTGGTTCGTTTCAAATGGAATGCACTGTATATTCGAAAATTGAGTCTTTGATAATTGTAGTTTCACAAAGATTGCTTTGTTGAAATTTCTTGTTATTCAGGTGCATTCAGCTTGAGGTTATTCACACGTTTTGAGACGATTGCTCAATTTTCAGAATGTAATATATATTGAAAGACATATCTGCATATATCTGCATTTTACTGCCTCATAGGTACAATTGAAATAACCAGACAGTTTTATTGATGAATGACGCAAAAAATGATGGATGGGTGTCGTGCAGTGATTCACAAATGTTGACGATGTGGAAAGATATTTTGAACATCAATTATACGTCTTCAATGAAATAAGAGATAATGAAAAGAAATATATCTCAATTGAAACTTTTTCATCGAAACTTCTACAATAGTGAATCAATTACCAGTTACATCAAACCGCTGTGTTAGCAATTCAATATTCTTGAAAAATAATTCAGTACTTATGGTATACCTACTGGGCATTATGACGTAGTGTCTGCAAGGGATGAGAGGGTTGATAATGTCCTCGGTGTTTTAGAACGATTTGCAGTTTTGTATGTGATTTCTGGAGTGGATTGGGTAATACTGTATTTTTCCTCATTTATATTAATAATTATAATGAATTGATTAATGTAGTCGCTACTACGTGGTAGGAGATCATCATGAAAAATGAGAAATAAAACTTTCTATGTTTTACTGTATGATTTGAAAATGTCGATATAGGATGAAACTGCAGTAACGTTAGTTACGAATGAAAAGTGGTAAAAAAATATATAAAAAATTGAAAGTTTCATTTCTCATTTTTTCATAGCAATAATAATATTCACGAATTTTCGAAAAATATGTTATATTTCCATGTTTTAACGTTCTCCTTTAATTCCAGGAATCATCATGAAAAACCTGGGACTCCAAAGAAATGCAATATAAGTGACTACCAAGCAACTTCCGTCTACCGCCGCGAAAATGGATTTTAATGAAACACGAAACATAACGGATTGCGAAAACTTCATAATGCCCGAGAGTCCTTTGAGAAACCCGTATTTCCAAGGATCAGTCTATTCCATGTACGTCCTTATATTCGTAGTAGCTTTCGTAGGAAACAGCTTCATCTGCTACGTGGTGGTATCATCTCCGAGAATGCACACCGTGACAAATTTTTTCATCATGAACCTGGCTGTTGGTGATATGCTCATCATTGTCCTTTGCGTTCCTTTCACGTCTGTTTCGCTCATGCAGCAATACTGGCCTTTTGGTGGAATATTGTGTCCTGTAGTGAATTACTCCCAAGCTTTATCAGTGTTCATTAGCGCGTATACTTTAGTGGCAATTAGTATTGACAAGTACATGGTGATTATGTGGCCGCTGAAACCGCGGATTACCAAAGGGTTTGCTATTTCCATGATCGCTCTAGTCTGGATGATTGCAGGAACGACTGTTCTCCCCTCTGCCTTCTTCGCAAAAATCATTCAACCAGATTACCCCTATGTGGATTGTGACAGGTAAGATTTTTGAATAATTTTTATTTCATATGTAAAGTCCGGAAAACAAAATTTTTGTCAATAAGTGAAGCATTATAACGATATCATTTTGAACACATTTATCTGTGACGATAAGACCAAATCTACAGCTTTGTATGGATATGGTCAATTTGCTTTCATGTCCAGTGTATGAGAGATAATCAGCTGTTTATAGGTTTATCAGTCGGTCTGCAGGTTCTTGGGGCTGACGTTTCGTCTGCGAAGGTGGCAAATATTATCATAAGTAATGCGCAGTAGTGAAAGTAATCAACTTCACATACCATGAGCTACTGAAATTAGTGCACTCCCACACCCAATCGCTCATATAATCCTGATGTCGTTAGGAAATGTTCAAAGGAGGCATTGCAATCTGGAGCGAAGAACCCGCTGATGAATTGCAGGTTTTCACCACAGTATATAAGTACACACCAGTAAGTTCACTCTCCGCCATCTTTGGGTCAAGATTCCCCACCTCGAATTTTATGCGCGGCCGAACTACAGCGCAACCGACTGAATCTGAGGCGTTCACCAAGTGAGACAAATTGAGGCATGAAATATTATTGCAGAGTGAGTCGTTGTAAGTGGTGGTTTTGTATTTGTGAAAAATTTGTGAGTAGTTTCAAAATGAGCAAGTGTCAAGCTGTGGTTGCTGTAATTTGCAGGGTGATGTCGGCATTCATTTTTTTCGATTTCCAATTGACGAAAAAAGGTATGTTTTTCTATTATTCATTATGTAAGATTGAAGTAATGAACATATAACGAAAATCATAAAATGAATTGTTATAGACCATATATAGTGAAGTCATTAATATGCAGACTTTTTATTATGAATTCAATTTGATGAAGTTGAACTTTACGAATAGTATATGCCATTAGTTCCACTGGAAATCCACAAAGGAAAATAATTGTTGAACCACATCAAGTTTTGATTTGTATCTGTAGGAATACAATTACTTCCACTGAAATATTTGCAAAACCATTTATATGTTCCAGATAATCTACTATAAATAGCAAATATGTTTTTTCTCAGATTCTGTCATCAATAACAAAAAACATTAGAATTTCATTCGATTGACACATTTCATAATTAGCAATTTAGGCAACCCAGAACCAAGGAATCTGTATTATATATTGAAGTTTTGATTTACAACAACCAACCCAATAATATAAAAAAAAAATATTTCAGAAAAACGATTCAAAACAAAATGAAATTCTGCAAATGCCTTGGTAGTCATGGCAAAAGGCATGCATTCGAACTGGAAACAGCCTGTTGCATACCTTTTTACCAATTCATCCACATTAATACTGGATATAAAAAGTATTGTGATTGAAGCAATTATCAAAAATTGGATTGAGAGTTAAAGGTATCATTTCAGATTTAGTTTCTAATTTTTATAAACAGTGGATATCTTTTGAAAAAGAAAACATCCATGAGAAGTATGTACAAATTTTGCCACGGTGGCTAGTACGACACTGAATGAAATAAATGTAGGTATATAGTCATTTCAAGGCATATAGTAATACAGTAGCCAAACAGTTTGGAAGTTTATATATGCCTTCAGATTCATTTTTACAATGTATCATACAACTATAGACAGAATTTCTAAATCATTTCAACAACTTATGTGCCACTGATTGTGATAATTTTCCATTGGATTATTTATTTCCTCTTTTCACAAAGGTAAAAGTTCATTATACTTTGAAACTGCCAATAGAAATTTGAAAATAAATGTTGAAAAAAAATCAAAAACTCATCATTCTGAATAAACCTTTAAAATATATTAGCATAAGTTTTTTACCTAAATTGTATAATCTTACTACATAAAATATACGTTCATTTCACCACATTGTCTAATTTTTTTAGAATTCCTAAACAGTTCACAATCATATGAGACATTTATTAGGAGCTCCTCGTAGCAATGATGAAGTCAGATCATGGTCACATATTTTTTGATCGAACCTCGTGCAGAGGTGCACAACAGCTCTTAGCCGACACCCTCCTGTCCCGCCACATGCCAGCAAAAAATAAAATCTCGACACGAAACATCATAGACGATTCTGTCTTTCACACTGGTGGCTATAGCAGGCTACACAAATACGAAACATGTTCTCACAAAAGGTATTTATGATATTGCCTTAGAAATCGGTAAACACAATATAATAATTTAAATCGTATAAAGAGAGCTTGCATAATAACGAACAAGGATACCGGTACTTTAGAACCCACTAGTTTTATGTGAAGGTGTATGGGAAAGTTGTTATGTTAGATATAAATGGATAATATTTCAAAGTGAAGAATTAGTTTTTTCCACCTATTTGTATGTGATGCCTCAGTGAGTGGTCGAACTAAAGAGCTCTACCAGAAATTCAGTCATGGTATTCAAACAACTGAATTAAAAATTAGGAAAAACCATGAAACATGAATGATATGACGTTCTGAAAAATTGTTAAATACACACATTGGAAAAGTCTAGGGATATTTTTATAACATACTAAATATCATAAAAATAAATGCATGAGGTCGTTTAATTTCGATTAAATTGGTACACTCGACCACCCTGTAGATTTCTATGGGTTGAACAAAGCCTGCAAAAACGGTAACTAATCTTTCATCAAGAGTATTTCAGCAAACTGTTACTGAATATCGAAAACAAATTGAAAAAGGCTTCCGAAGCAATAAGAGACTCCCAGGATAAAAACTGTCAACAAATGCCCTTATCAGTTGAAGATAAGCATATAGCTAAGGGTATCCATGCACGTTAAAATGTGAATACCGAACTATTGACATGGATGAACTTCGTCAGGAAGTCATAAGAAATATGAAAGAGATAAAAAGTGCGAAAGAAGCGAGCGAAGCCATAGTAATTGAATAACAAAGTTATTACGTTGGAAAGGAAAAATCAAGATTTGAAGAAGAAAGTCGAGCTACTGGAGAGGACAGCAAAGGAAATCATATCTTGATATTTGGCTCGGACCAAAGAGATACTACTACTGTCAATGTTTGTGCGGAATTGAAAAATTCTCTTGGTATCAATATCACTGAAGATCACATAAATAAAATTCATCCATTGAGACATATGAGATAAAACCCATTGATAGTGGAGCTGATGTCTTATATGAAAAAATAAGAGATTTTCAGAAATTACAAGAAGCTGAAGAGAACAAATATATCAATCCTACAGAACTTGACATTTGAACAAAGGACAGAAAATAGAATATTATGTGAATAGCTGAACAGAACAAGACTAAACAAGGATAATATAACACATATAAAAAAACCAAAATGAACATCAATAAAAAAGCGTACACAGTGAAACAAGTTGAAAGATCCCATTTACAAACCACACAATAGCGCCCTCCTTACACTGAACCTTAGGAATAAAGAATATACACTTGAAATATAATCCTACCAACCTGAAGTTTTCAACGATACAATCAGCAAAGACACAGCTGCACAAGAAACGGCATCCCACCAAAAAAGTTAGACTACCGAAAAATCAACTATCGCTACGAACTCTAGCATAATCAAGAAAATATTGGTGAACCAGTTTCCAAAGGAAATAACAGACTGCAATCCGCAAATTAATAAATAATTACCAACAACGACAAGATATAAATTTACTACATTCTACTTACTTACTTACATTCTACTACATTCTATTTACTATATTCTTACTTTTCTATAGGTAATCCAGGGACAGCAATCTTTACATAACTAACATATTATTACATGCATACACTATCACCATATTCGTTATTGTAAGCTCATCCAAAATTACTGACACAGAACTTTATATTCCATTGTAATTATATGGTGATATTTCTAAATTTTGGATCCTCATATGAGAGATTTTATAGTAGAGAAAATAAAGGTCCTCAATACTAATAATCACAGTATTTCAAGATCAATCTTGAAGAACTTGGAACGTGCCTTTTACTTTCTCCCTCATCATGACTGATTATGACTATACAATGACAGCAACTACAATCAAAATGACGGTGTCATTGTTTTTGTAAAAACAAACTTTTATCATTCCGATAATCATATCGAGCTAAACCGAAGTGTATTACTGAAAATCAATATGAATGTAAACGAACAGACTATCTGCATCTATGCGTTCTATAGATCTCCGGCGAGTGAATTGATTACTTTCTAAACCAACTTAATGATATGCTAAACAAAGAGAATGGCACCCACATTACTGTTTATTCGTTGCTGGCATTGATATATCGAAAGAAACTGAAGACTCGAGAATATATCTCGACATAATTAATGATGATGGGTTTCACACAACCATAAATACCACTACAAGAGCAAGAAATGGATCGGAATCATATCTAGATCAGATATTTATTAAAACAAAACAGCAAAACTACAATGATCTCCACCATCTTCACCACAATCAAAGATCACTACATAACGTTACTACAAATCGTACCACATAATAAAAAAATGAATGAAATAAATAATAATTCAAAAAAATACTTTAAAAAATTAGACAAACAAAAAAGCACTTCTTGAATCCATTAGCCACATAAATTGGGAGGATGAATTATACCCGATGCGTGATCTTAAATAATAGAAAAATTCATAAATATAATAAAAACCCGTGTTCGTAAATCAACGAGATACATAAAAATAAAAAAAGAGTGAGCGCAGACGAAAAAATGCATTACGAAACATTGAAAACAAGACCCAATTAATGTGAACATAAAAAATAATCATTCAACAGACATAAAATAAAAGATGCGGAAGACAAGTATTATGGAATGTTGCTGAAAAATTAACAGAATGCAGGGAAAAAAACTATGGAAAACGGTTAATGAAATTCTGGAAATCGAAACAAAAAACAAATGAACTACTTTAAAAATAATTGCTGACATGTATAACAGCTTTTTCGCGAATATAGGAGAAAACCTAGTGAAAAACATTAAAAAACCTAACTGCAAAAGTAGGAGAAATATAAGAAATGATTAATTTT